TTTTCATGGCACTTTTCAGTTCCTCTGTGTGATTTCCATCCACATCTAAGTAGGAGTGGTTTAAGCAAACATATTTTGAAACATTGTTCATTAAAATCAAGGTCCAAAAATATGCAAACAATATTAGAATGAGGGATAAGGCACTTTCTGACTCACAACAGCTGAGGACTTATTGCAGTTGAGGATTTCTCTGTGCATAGATAATTTCACTAATCAGAGCTAGAATTGTAGCTGGTGTTTGTCCTTGTACTCCAAGACCATGTTGTTTTTAATAAAGTAGAACTCATTCAAACAGTCTATTTAAACAGACCGGTTTAGAAAAAATGTTCTGCCTTGTCGGTTCGTGTTTTTAATGCGACAGTTGTTCACCGTTATTCTCGAAGGTTATTGCAACTATTCAACGCCTCCGCGGATTTGACTGTAGGACGGCCTTTGGGAAAACATACGCTGGAACGTTCCATGGCTTTACCATGAGTTTAAGGTGTGAACCTCCGAGGCGGGGAATGCATTCAAATGTGTTGTAAGGGTTTTTTTTTTTTCATTTTCTGTAGACAACTTTCATAATAGGTCCTTATCCTTATGTTTGTCTTGATCTCCAGATAACTTTTATTTTAAAGTGATTGTCTGGAGTTTGTCAGAAAAAGAAAGAGGGGTACTTGATTTGAATAAAACGACGCAAGCTCCCTCCCCCTTCCTTTCTGATTGGTCTACGCCTACGTTTCCGTAACACATTTAAATGTTAATCAGAGAACACATTATACATATACATTATTAATACACATGCACGGAGGTTTTCAGAATTATTTGTTAATGTTTTAATGAACAAAATAATGTTTTAATGCACAAAAAAAGCGATCGCGGCAAACTCGGAACAAGCTATTCTCATGAATTGCACATTGTAGGACACACCTGCAGAGGATCTGATTATGGATATAGGTTCAGTATATACATAAGTAACTCAGCGCAAATGTTCAGAATTCTTTGTTCAGTTTTCATGTAGTTCCAGAACCTAATAGAGGCTTGATTCGGAGGTTCCGCGAAAACAAACAACTGAGCATGCGTGCAGCTACGAGCATCAGCGCCGATGATTGACAGCCCTTGGCATGACTCGATTGGTTAACGTGGACGGCATCGTGGATTCTGAACTATAGCTAAGAGAAGGGAAGGCGGGACTTGCCCGTAATATTAGAATTAATAAAATGACTTATTTTATATCAACATTTAAGGCCAGGAGGTCAATTTAACACATTTCCTAAAATTTGTAATTAATTTAGAGTTAAATCACTTTAAATACCTTCATTTCAGTTTCATATTTCTGCTCAAAAACACTTTTAATCTGTCTTTAATGACAACAAATTTCTTTAGTTTCAACCCACTCTGTTCAATCTTTTTAAGAATCAACAATTTTTCTCTGTTTACTCCATCTTTATACTTTCATTTCCCCTACGACTGACTTGGAAATGCACTCTGTCCCTGGGGATCTCAAAGTGGGGACAAGATTATTCTGGATTATCATTGTAATTTACTATAATTTAGCCTGGTACTTCAATTGGAGCTCCAAAGGATTAAATGTAATTACACATTTTGCGGGTGTAGCGTCCTGTATGTGTATAGGTCGCATAAAAAGAAAAAAGTATGGTCATCAAGATTTCAGATGTTGAGCTTGGCGTTATTGGTTCCATGGAATTTTTATATTATAGCTTGCAAAAAAAATCTCCAAACCTTTGGAAACAAATGTTGAACTTTCATATTATTTGTCGTCCATTGGCTGCACTTTTGTTTAATTTGGCTGACAGAGAATTTTCGCAGATTTGTGCCATGTTTACTGGGACTTGGAGGTATGAACCATAAACCATGTCGGCAAATCATTTCAGGAGCCACTAAAACCGTGGCCGGCGGACTTTGTATTCGAGCCATGTGACATAAAGCCTCAGAACCTCCTCTTATGGGAACATCCAGAGTGCACCCGGTTTGAACCACCTCAAAACTGTACCATGAGAAAACAGCATTATCAGCTTCAGATTTAATTTAGTATGAAGTATATCATAGAGAAGCTGCTGTTTTATTTCTGAAACGTGTCTAGATTTCTCCAGTGCCTGCCATAAAAATAATATGTACGTTCAATAACAAAAGGCCATTGCATTCCCGGAAGACAAAACAGAAATGGCATCTTTCAGCTTGTTAACAAATCATGTTTTCATTTTTTTTTAATGATTTGTTTGTTTCGAGCACCTTCTCACTGATTCTTCTTAATGTAGAGGTGGTTGTGTGAAGTTGCGTCTCTACATGGACTCGAGTCGTCAGAACAGGCTGATATGTAAACAAATTCTAAACAGCCTTTTATATTGCAATTTGAATCTGGAAATCAGGTTTAAGCTAAGTTTTAAGACATGCAGAGACAACAGCACGAGCCAGTGTATTGATAATTTAGCTGTTGATCTGTCGCTTCTACACATGCACTAATATCGACCGTCTTCGGCTAATACGCACAAGGAAATGGATCAGCTTAGAGATTGTATACACTACCTGAAGGTTTCAAGATTCATAGAAGAAGACACAGAAGACGATACAATACAATAAAACCATACAGACATGAACCACCACCGCTCTGCTCTATGGCTGCATTCAGGAGGCTCATAGCTGTAGGGAGGAATAGTCTAAACTCTATAGCAGTGACCGGATATACAGTGCCTTGCGAAAGTATGGCAACAAGTGGGACACTATCGTGAAGTGGAACAAAATTTATTGGATAATTTAAACTTTTTTAACAAATAAAAAACTGAAAAGTGGGGTACTGTTGTGGAGAAGTTTAAAGCCGGATTTGGATACGAAAAGATTTCCCAAGCTTTAAACATCTCAAGGAGCACTGTGCAAGCAGTTATATTGAAATGGAAGGAGTATCAGACCACTGCAAATCTACCAAGACCCGGCTGTCCCTCCAAACTTTGATCTCAAACAAGGAGAAGACTGATCAGAGATGCAGCCAAGAGGCCCATGATCACTCTGGATGAACTGCAGATAACTACAGCTGAGGTGGGAGAGTCTGTCCATAGGACAACAATCAGTCGTGCACTGCACAAATCTGGCCTTTATGGAAGAGTGGCCATTTCTCAAAGATATCCAATAATAGTCTCTTAAAGTTTGCCACAAGCCACCTGGGAGACACACCAAACATGTGGAAGAAGGTGCTCTGGTCAGATGAATCCAAAATCAAACTTTTTGGCCACAATGCAAAACGATATGTTTAGCGTAAAAGCAACACAGCTCATCACCCTGAACACACCATCCCCACCTCAGCTGTAGTTATCTGCAGTTCATCCAGAGTGATCATGGGCCTCTTGGCTGCATCTCTGATCAGTCTTCTCCTTGTTTGAGATGAAAGTTTGGAGGGACGGCCGGGTCTTGGTAGATTTGCAGTGGTCTGATACTCCTTCCATTTCAATATATTTGCTTGCACAGTGCTCCTTGAGATGTTTAAAGCTTGGGAAATCTTTTTGTATCCAAATCCGGCTTTAAACTTCTCCACAACAGTATCTCGGACCTGCCTAGTGTGTTCCTTTGTCTTCATGGTTCTCTCTGCGCTTTAAACAGAACCCTGAGACTGTCAAAGAGCAGGTGCATTTATACGGAGACTTGATTACACACAGGTGCATTCTATTTATCATCAGTCATTTAGGACAACATTGGATCATTCAAAGATCCTCACTGAACTTCTGGAGTGAGTTTGCTGCACTGAAAGTAAAGGGGCCGAGTATTGCACGCCTCACTTTTCAGTTTTTATTTGTTAAAAAAGTTTCAATTATCCAAAAAATTTCATTCCACTTCACGATTGTGTCCCACTTCATGACAAAAAATTAAAATTTTATATCTTTATGTTTGAAGCCTGAAATATGGCGAAATGTTGAAAGGTTCAAGGGGGTCGAATACTTTCGCAAGGCACTGTAAAGCCTGGTTCACACGGCAGGATATTTAGGCCGATTTAGACCCGATTTACCCCTTACGACAATCTTAAGAAACGCTCCGATTTCCGTAACAAAATCTTACAGATTATCCTGCCGTGTGTGGTGTGTTAAGACTGCACTCGTCGCTCGGAAGGACATCGGGACTGCTCCCGATCTCAAATCGGGGATATCCAACATGTTGGATTGTTTTGGCCCGATTTCTCGTCGTGTGTGGTGTCCTCCGAGGACAAGCGAGCGCGTTGCCATGACTACGGCATGTAGCCAATAAGAAGACGAGGTGACAAGCCGGTGAGGAAACACCGGAAAAAAACCAAAACACAGCAGCATGGCGCACCAGAAAGTTCGGTGGACATCAGAGATGGAGGAGCAACTAGTAGACATGTGGCAATACCGTGAATGTTTGTATGACGTGTCAAGTAAAAGTTATCATAACAGAAATGACAAGGAGAGAAATTGTTTACTCTGAAGTCACGCTTGATCTCGAGAGATTTTGTGAGATTTCCGTCTGACCTGGGAATGCTCGGATGTTTGTGGCTTGCGTGATCTTGCCGTGTGGCTACGCACCACACACTGCACGACCAAAGTGGTTAGACGCAGGATTTTTAATCTCCCTGTGTGGGGTCTAACACGGAGAAAAATCGGCCGACAATTTTAAAATCGTCTCGTGTGAACCAGGCTTTAGTAGCTCAAACTGGGACTAAAGAGCACGAGAAGCGGGAGACTGTGCTCAGACAGGTTCGGGATTAGGCTTCTGATTCCTTCAAAAAGGAATTGCATTTTGTACCCAGCAATTCTCTCTGTGTCTGATTTAATGATAGCAATACATTTAAATGGGGAAAGGAAAAAACACTTGTTGTTACTAAATTTCTTTTTTCATGTTCTTGAGTGACGTCCATAAACTACCAAATGACTATGGAAGGAATAATCACCAAACTAAACAATTTAAGAGAGTGTTTGATGATTACAGCTCTATCTGTGAAGGAATTTGTGAAGAAACCTGTACAGACATTTCTAATCTGCTTTTGTCCTTTGTCACAGGGAATACTTGGGCCGGCAGCTCCAGACCACGGATCAACAGCAGGCTCCCGCTGTGGCTGCTAGAAGTTAAATTAGTTTGTTATTATTACGATTAAATATTTATGTGAGTGAATGTGTGTTGTGCAAAATGACGTCTGATATTTCAAAACTCCTGTTTACATTCTTGTGCAGTCTTCATTCCTCTCCATTGAAACATGGTCCTTCTCTGTAAAGCTATTGTTTTTATTTTCTGTGCTAAACATGTGGTGATTTTGAGTCGCACTTTAAAGTATGTAATGTGTAAAATAATAATAATAAAATATTTAACTGTAAGACAATGGTGAACAAACAATAAAAGATGCTGTCGTGTTAGCTTTGTCTGTGTTTTCCTCTTCTGGCCTTCTGTAGATGAATGAAACAGCTTTGACCCAGGGCAGCTTCTCTCCACTGCTCACAACTTCATCACTAGTTCATACATGTTTGCACATTACATCCGGGGAAAACTTAATCTTTAATATTGATCAAATATCATCATGTTGTGTGTTTGGGTACTATGACAGTGAAGATGCTTGTAGAGCCAACTCAACAAGCTCCTCTATGTCCACTGAGACCAAATAAATAAATAAAATTGTATGTTTTAAACTATCAATGTCACAGTGACATTTTCAAACACCGAATACATGGACACAAAATTACATTATCCGCAAACGCCAAAAAAAAAAGTTAAGAACTCAATGCGAGGATGCAGGATTGGGCACGTGTGATGCTGCTCCAATCAGAATCTGGAGCTGGGGACTTCCAGGAAGTGGGAGGCCAGTGGTCCTCCAATCACACGCCAGAGACGGGAAACATGAGAAAAAGTTCCATCGAATATTTACTGTTTGTAAAAGATATTTCCAAACTTACAAAAGAAGCAACCCTAACCCATTTTTTTGATAGCTTATAATGTTACATAGAAAACTATTCACTAGTTTAAAGACATTTGAAATACACTCAAATAATCGTGTTGTAAACAAACTTGTAGCAACAGCCAACCATGTAGATACATCCAGACTGGATAAAAAATAAATGGCAAATCCAAATTTAAGTCATTTCAAATATGCTAGCTAGAGAGACACATGTTGGCTGTTTCTCAATGTTTTCCCAGCAGGTAACTGATTTATCCGTTCTAGTCTGTGCAGCAGCAGGGGAAATGATCTTCTTTGTATTGTTACATTGTGATTCAGTGCAGTCTCTGTTTAAGGTGTGACGCTGTTGGGGAAAGAAAGAAAAATACTAGTGACTATTGTTTGCCCATAAGAGAACGAGTGAGAACAATCCTGTTTACCCTATTTTCTGGTAAATGTTTGAAAATAACATCAAACGCGTGTGCCTTCAAACGGTCTCTTGTTTTTCATTACTGGCCCAATGGGATCTGGTCTTAATGAACGCATCATTTGTGTTTTTATGGCGCTGCCGGCCTCACCTTTTCAGCGTCACCTTGAAGAACTTCAGAGAGTTGGATCTTAGTCACTTCCCTCTGGATGTGTGGGAGATGTTTTCTCTTAACTCTATTGTTAACAATGAAAACGTTTTCTGCTTTTGTATCCTGTAGGTAAAGAGAGCCGCACGGTGAGTATTGGCAAGAGTAGAAAGAGATAAGTACCATTCGGAAAAACACTACAATTCACCAAAGCGTATAACTGAAGATTCTGAGCATGTTTTTTTTACATTGTAATTATAGCAATAAGTAAATGATTATTGTCCAATGCGACAGTTATCATATAAATGAACTGAACATAACAATGGGCCTCATTCACGAACCGTACTTAAGAACACATTTGTGCGTAAATCCTACTTACGAAAATTTGGGTAAGTACAAATCCTACGAATGCTTAGGAGCACTCGTACGCACATTCAGTGCTGACATGTTCGCACGCTGGTGTTATGAAGTTCAATAAAACACAACATTACAGTGATATGTCCGTCATATTGATGTATGTATTTATTTATTTAATTGTTAATGGTAATTTAGACTATTTTTTTATTCATTTTTAAATTAAATGTGCCAACGCTTTATCAAATACATTGGAAATCTTGCCGTGTATTAGTGACCCCACCCAGGGGGCATTTCTTTATCCACGGGCCACAGAACAATGGCATATATACTGCTGCTGCAGGAGGTTGTGGGGTCCGCACTGAGTCTCTGCACTGGTCTCTCCCATGGATCTATACGGGTCTGCGCTGGTCTCTCCCATGGATCTATACGGGTCTGCACTGGTCTCTCCCATGGATCTATACGGGTCTGCACTGGTCTCTCCAGGCTGGTCTCTCTTCGGTCCGCGCTGGTCTCTGCGCACCGGTCTCTCCAGTCAGGTCACTCCAGTCTATGCGGTCTCTCCTATAGGTCCGCGCTGGTTTCTGTGTGCTGGTCACTCCAGTCTCTCCTCGGGTCTGCATTGGTCTCAGCGCTGGTCCGCGCTGGATCTCCTCCCAGGGTCCAAAATATTTTGAGATTAATCTCAAAACATTTTGAGATTCATCTTTAAAATAATACATAATATATTTTTAAATTAAGCTCATAATTTTGATAGTTCGACTTTATTCTCATAATATTTCGACTTTTAAATCAACATTTTATAACTTTATTCTCAGTCTGGCAAAAAAGGAAAAAAGGGGACTCTTTTGCTCCGTGTAACTCTTTGCTTTAGGCCTGTTGCTGTTTCCTCTGGCGTCTGCACACGGCCCTGCAGTCCCTTATATGGGCATTAGTGGGCGGTTACTTATGCTAAGTACCTATGCTAATGAAGCACCTGGCACGCGCGCTGTACTTACGAGGAAATGGGATTCATCAATCTGAGAGAACAGCTGCAAACAATTCAGAGGCTTACGAGCGCGTTGATGAATCCCACGAAGGGTCTTCTTAGAAATCTACTTAAGAGCGACTTGAGAAGAAATTTAAGAAGTTTCTTACGAAGTTATTTGTGAATGAGGCCCATTATTCCTAACAATTTGTGCGTGTATTTGAGAACATGTGGGTTTCACTCTGACAATGTGCAAAATATTGAACACATAAAACCAGCTCTGCTCTGTGAAACAAAGGTGGGAGGAAATCCTATTTATGTTTATTTGTGTGTGTGTGTGTGTGTTTGTGTGTGTAGAATGGGGCATCCTGATCTCATTGTTATTATTTTCATGATCTCACATTGTTCCTCAGTCGTTGTGTAAATGTGAATTATACATATTAAACAATTTTCTCAATCAATATTTGATTTTATTAGTTGATTTATTGTTATCATCATGTAATTCATTATTATTGTTATTATTTTTGTAAATAAAATGTGCATCCACGCATTTGAGCCATCTCCAGATGCCCTGCAGCATAAGTCTTAGTTCCTGAATGTCATTAGTCCGTATTTAAGTTTTAGAGTGGGGCAAACAAATATTTACTCAGTCACCAATTGTTCAAGTCCTCCCACTTAAAAAGATGAACGATACTAGTCATTTTCATTTTCTGTCAACCCTGAGAAACAAAATTCTGAAATATATATATTTTCAAACTGTCGCTAAGGAACTGTACTGTGCCGAACTGCTTTAAAGAGTCGACCATCATTCCAGTTCCTAAGAAAACTCCTGTGACATGCCTGAATGACTATCGTCCTGTGGCCCTCACGTCTGTTCTTATGAAAACTTTTGAGCGGCTTGTGCTGGACTTCATTAAGAGCCAGATCCCTGTGAGTGTTGACCCGCTCCAGTTTGCTTACAGACAGAACAGGAGTGTGGAGGATGCCATCTCCTTTGCTCTGAACTCTGTCTACAGTCACTTGGACACTAGTAAATCTGTCGCGAGAATGCTTTTCATCGATTATAGCTCTGCTTTTAACTGCCTTGTCCCAGGTAAACTGATTGAAAAGCTCATGTCTCTCGGTTTAAGTGTTGCCATGTGTAAATGGATTTTTAGCTTTTTAACTGAAAGATCTCAGAGAGTGAAAATCAATGACTGTTTTTCTGATGTTGTTTCTGTGAGCACTGGTTCTCCTCAGGGAAGTATTTTGAGTCCTTTGCTTTTTACTTTGTACACTCATGATTGTGTGTCCTCCTCTGACTCAAACTTGATCATCAAATATGCTGATGACACCACCATCATTGGTCTCATCAGTGACAATGATGAATCCTCTTATAGAGCAGAGATACAAAATGTGGTTCAGTGGAGTAAAACTAACAACCTCCAGTTGAACGCATCGAAAACATGTGAACTGGTCTACGACTTCAGTCGCAATAGTTCTCATTTGCCTGTCGTAATCGACAACTCCCAGGTGCAGATCGTAGAGGAGTGCAAGTTTCTGGGTTTAACTCTGTCTAACGACCTGAAATGGGTTAAAAACACTGACCGAGTCGTTAAGAAAGCTCGTCAGCGTCTCTACTTTCTGCGTAAACTTAGAGAATTTACCACTAACTCTAAGATTCTGCTTAACTTTTATCGCTGCACCATTGAGAGTTTACTTGTTGGTCTGTGTCTGTGTGGTTTGGAAACATCACAGATAAAGAAAAGAGAGCTTTAAACAAGGTGCTCCGCTCTGCAAAGAGGACCGTGGGCTGTGAGCTTCCTGTTCTAGAGGTTCTTTATAAATCCAGACTTTTAAACAAAGCTCTTAGGATTGTCAATGAGCCATGTTCCAGCTTCTTCCCTCTGGCAGAAGATATCGCTCTCTGAGATGCAGGACATCTCGTTACGCTAAAAGTTTTTATCCACAAGCTGTTATCAGTGTGAACAGAGCACTTTAATGATTTGCACTTGTTTTGAAACTGTTTTAGTCGATCGATTTCCCAGTGACATTTGTTTACTGTTTTATTTGTTTTATTTTTGTGCACACTGGAGACTTTTTGCTAATGCCAATGTGTTTTTTTTTTTAACTGCAAATGGCAAATAAAACTGAATCTGAATCTGACAATATGAGAGAAAAATATTCCATATAATATTCATTTTTTAAGTATTTGTCTCCAATAACAGAGGTCAAACGTTTTCTGTATGCACAAGATTTTCACACACAGTAGTGTTAGGATTAAGCAGACAGAGACGGATCGTGGTGTGCCAAACTCTGGAAGTTTATT